ATCAAGAAGGTGAACACCGTGGACAAGGTTTGGGAAACAGAAACAATGGAACACGTTCACAAGGTGACAGACGAGATCCACAAGGTGGAAACCGTGGACAAGGACAACAAGATGGAAATAATGGAAGAGGTGCCCAAACTGGAAACCGTGGACAAGGTTGACGAGATGACAACAGTAGATAAGGTAAATAAATACCTTTTGTCAAATACTATGCATACATTTATATGTTCAATGTAGGTGGATCTCGCAGTCATCAAAACTAATTGATCAAAACAATGGAACAATTATATAATCGAAAATACACTTTATTTATCTTATTCACTTATTTTTTATTCATGTAGTTAGAAATAAAACAAAAGAAAAACTTGCTTGCTTTTAAAACAAATGCAAGAAAATTATTTTCAAATAGAAAGATAACTTTATACAAAATAAAAATAATAACATAATATAAGATATTGATTTCATTGACGCTTCAGATTTAGAATCTGTATCGTTTATATGAGTATTAATCCAATCCGCAAACATACTCACACGAGTATATACACCAGGATATTCTGCTATTGCACATCCATATCCATATGATGTTATTCCTGCAATATTCCACGTATCACTTATTGAATCATGAATCATCAAAGGTCCACCACTAGCATATTTTATAAATTAAATATAATATTATAAAATATTTATTATTTACCTATCACCTTGACATGTATCTTTACCACCTTCGATAAAACCTGCACAAAATTGAATAATATTATCATTTACAACATTACGACAATATTTATTTGTATATGATATAATAGGTAATTCTACTTGTTGAAGAGTATAAGATGATAAACCATCTTGTTGTAAACGACCCCAACCTATTACAGTACCATTCATTGATTCATATGGATATGTTGACATATTATTTTGAGGTAAACAAATAAATCCAATATTTGAATCATTGAAATAAACATTATTTGTTAATTCTAATAGAGCAATATCATTTTCATAGGTGTCACCATTAAATTCATCATGTAAAATAACAGATTTAATTGTAAATCGAATTGGATTTGTATCATTTTTATATTGAGCACCAATAACAATAAAATAATTTGAAAGTTGTGATGATTTAATAGTCTGAAAACAATGAGCGGCTGTTAATACATATTTACTATTAATTAAAGTTCCACCACAAAAAAGAGAACCAGGACTTATTGATGATTCACTTGTTTTTGATCGACGAAGACTAACTATTTGATTCAATAGAAATATTTAATAAATAATTAAATCTTGATACTTACCAATCCATGGCCATGAATGACTTTGAGCTGTATAACCACCAACAATTCTCGATTCAGAAAAAATAGGTTTTACATGCGAACATCCACATTGTGTTGATGATGGTACACATAATGATAAATATGAATGAATTAAAAATAAAAGATATAAAATGAAATACTGTTTTCTATGGATCATATTCTGTTTTGTAAATGTATATTGCAAAAGAACAGTTCTAAGTTTGACTATATAAATAATGGATCGATTATGACTTTATATATTATAATGTCAAGTACCTTTTTATTTTCTTTCTTTCGTTATTTCTATATTATTCATATCGTGATATTTTTCATTATTTTCATATCAAAACTCCCATACTTGTTATATTCTGTTATTACAGTTGATTCTTTCTTCATATCAATCATACAACCATTTAACATGAATAAAATATATGCTGATCTTTTCTATTTTGTTTTGTCAAAAACAAAAATATTCTCTTGAATACTGACAACATATTGGATTCCCTCCAAATGTATTTGATCTACATGGTGGCACCATGCATCCTGGATAATGATCAGTAAATGTAATCGGTTGATACGATGGCCCAGCACAAAATGCAAATACAGTATGCGTATGCTGGTGTATCATAATAATCAGCAACTAATATATTCAAACGATCATGATATAATTTATGTAAATACCATTTAATCTATGGACATGGAAGACCATATAAACCATCAAAATGTAGAGATGTATGCTCAACCACAGAAAGATCATTTATACATTGAGTAGTTAATATTGTTTTTTTTTGTTTTGTTTTATCATTAGATTCAGTTTTATATTCAGGCACTATTAAATGAATAAAACTAGGCATTAAAGATTAGAAATTCTTCACATAAAAGTTTTCATTTTTATTACAATAAATGTGGTAATTTATTGGGTATGTGTAAAGATTGTGTACACCTATGAAGACTACCAATACTGCAAGTAGAGATCGAGTTTGAAATGTATATCATATGTATACTCATTCTGAGCTGAGCTTTTGGTTTTTGAAGAGAAACACATTCTCTTGTGTACGCACGGATACTTATGTTCATTCCATTTTTTAATTATTTGTGAAAGTGACTATCATTGTATTTTATAATTAAAACCAAGATAACTACGAATGTCCACATCGTTCGCAGTTTTTATGCAAACTCAATAGTTAGCATTGGTTACATTGATATGTAGTTGTAAAATATCTTGTATAAGTAAAATTTGACAAGCCTTGAATGGATATTCCTAGGTACAAAAAGAACTGTATTGGAGCTGAAAACAATACACGCAGCGTAAAATGGGTCTCCATAGTTTTTACAGGTGCCCTAATTGTTTATTCGAAAA